TGTCATAATTTTTCCTCAGTTTTGAGATATTGACGCGGACGATGCGTGTTCCAAGATCCACACCTACCATGGATCCTCCGAGTTCGGAGATCACCTTTCCTTTTAGCCAAGATCCATGTTTGGACCCAGTGGATCCAATCTTAGACTTATCTTCTGACCAGTAGAAAACCTTATCTCCCAAAGAGAAAGGTCCTTGGGTCATTGACAGTCTGGCTGCAAGATCTCTACGCAGATCATCAGATTGGCGTGCCTCTTGGTAAGCCCTGTTGGCAAGCTCCTTAATGGCTCTCGCAGTGACTTCCGTATCAGTTGGATTACCTGTCAACTGATTGGGATCAGCGTTCTCTGGTGTTATAACATCTCGAGGACGCCTTCCAAAGGCCATTTCTAAAGGAGTAACTCCTCCGTAGGTAATCGAAGAGTTTCTTGCCAAACATGCTTGGCGAACGAGGTTGCCATACTTCATGGTGATTCCGTTATACTGCGGGTCACCATCCTTCAGGATCTGAAGTATGAGCTTAATCTGATGCTTCAGCAATCTTACAGCAGCTTCGGCCCTGTTGGGCCATGGTGTTCCAGGTCCTGTTGCCACAGGCTTGATATTCTGCCGATTGTAATAAGCCTCCATTTTTGGAGTCATGAATGCTTGATCTCCAACTACAACCTTTGGGTTGATCTGAAATTTCTCAAAGTAGTCATTCATAATCGACATTGTAGTATGTTCTTCTTTATCCTGGACTACTTCGGCAGTCAACAAGTTTGTTGCTCCATCATAGAGAATAAGAAATACTAAGCGACTATCCTTGCCGGGAATTGGAAGCTCACCGTGATCTACGAAGGTGAGATCACCGAAAGTCTCTGATCTTAAACCAGAAATCTTCGCTCTTGAAGGAGCTCTCACATGTTCCTGGCAGGCTGAACACTTTTTGACCAGTTGGTCATATAGCTCGTATATCTCCTTTGGGATCTGTAAGGCTTTTGTGCGTCGCTTGAACTGATCCGTACTCATATGACGGTGCTTAAGGTGAAGCTTATAGAGTTCTACAGGGTCCTTAAGCTTCTCATGAATCCTGCGAAGAGCAATGGGAAGAGATGGCGATGGTTCTGCGACAATCTCTTCACCTGTAGGTGAGTCTGTACCAGGAGCCGGGTATTCTCTTGACTCAAGTGGTCTTACCTCCGTCCCGTCATCAGCTCCTGGGACCTTAGACTTCTCTTCAACAGGAGGTTTAACCGCATATTTGCGGGATTTCTTCAGAAGGTTTTTAAGACCCTTTGGAGTCTTTATCTTCGCAGGTGGGACCTCAAGTCTTTCTTCTTCTGGAGGTTCATGTGGTGCAGAGGATTCTGCAGGTTTGTCCCTAGAGCCTGATGATGGTTCCGATGGTCCGGAAGGCTCAGGAGCATCACCAGATGGTTCTGGTGGATCAAGTTTCTTGGCAGATGATTCTGCCGGATCAGATGGAAGAGGCTTCTTTTTACCTGAAATCCTCTTCGGTGGTGGATCAGCTGCTCCCTCAGGTGCTTTGTCGCAACCCTTGAGGTACGTGTGAGCCCTTTTCTGTCCGGCACAGGCTGGACAGCGACCTTCCGGTATCCTAGTATAAGGCTTCTTGGCTCCTAGAGCAGTCTCCGTCGCACTGAACGACGTACCTGACTTAGGGAGATACTTCCTGGTGGAAGTGAAGCCTAGAAGGTCCAATACCAAATGGTTATTGGTACTAATCGGAAGAGGGGTTTTATACAAACCGAAAGCTTCACACGTTGCTAGGTCAGCTGTGGGACTACACTCGAGGGTCATTCTTAAATTCCTCATCTGTTCGATGGAAAACAAAATGGGGACTCTCCCCTGATCCAGAACTTCTATGGTTGTATCTCTTCTTGGAGTTGTGTTGAACCATAGAGTTACACGCTCCTTGATAAGAGCTGTTTCACTATCTGCGAAAGAGAACTTCGTGTTCGAAGGTGAAAAAGTGAAATCAATCATGCCTGGGGCACGTTGCTTCACGGCCTTGATAAGCCTGTTCACCGCATAGCGGGAACCCATAGCCCTAGTACAACCAGAGTCAAGTATGACAAAGGTAGGGCTCTTATCAAGATTGATCCGCTCTGTGAGAGCAGATAGGACGGTGTGCTGCAACGGAAACACTGCTGTTGCAGTTTCAACACCTTGCCCCTCGGATGGTTCAGAGACCTGGGGCACGTAACTCACTGATGAGTTGTACACGGGTTCTTGGTGCGCGCTCGGATCTGTGCCTCTACCTGATGATCCTGCTTGATTTCTTCTCTTCTTTCTCCGTGTCTTTCTTCGTGAGGCTTGTGATGCATAGTATGTATAAGACGTTTGATCGTCATAAGCGGCATAATTCCAACTGGAGTCAGTATAATAACTGTCCTCATACCATGAATCCCAGCTCGGTGCGGTGGAACTTTCATAGGCCTGTGGAGATCCAGTTTGGTCTCCTTGTAAGGAGGCAGACTTAGCTGTATCCTTACCTTTGCCTTTTGCCTTTGCGCCTTTGAAGGAGCTTCCTTTATCTCCTTTGTCCTTTCCTTTTCCTTTGCCTTTTCCACCTTTTCCTTTTTCCTTTCCTTTACCTTTACCGAAATAGCTGGAATCAGTTGGATCATGTTCTGCCTGGTTGGCTCTCCCTTTTCCGCGGTATGACCTAAAACGGCCACGTCCTTTTCGCTTGCCACCCTTTGCTCTTCCCGGTGATCCGGGACGCATTCTTGGTCTTCTTCCCTTTTTGAATCTCCTTGCAACGAAGGCCTCATGGTCGTCAACTGTCCAGAAGACAGCTTCTTCATCCTCGGCGGCAAGAAAGCCTTCCTCAAGGGTGTCTTCGTCTTGGAGCCAGAATCCATCGACTCCGTCGTATTCACCCTGATCGAGGATGAGGAAGTTTCGACCTCCGCGTTTGCGGCGTTGGTCTCTCCTTCCATGGCGGTCCTTCTTGTGAGAAGAGTGCCGAATGTTGGGATCCTGCAGACCAGTTCTGGTCGTTGAGAACTGATCGAACATGGTCTGCCGTACCACAGGGTACGTGTAGGTCTCAATTCGGTGACCTTGGTTGGTCAATGCTGTTACCAACCTCTCACGTTGCATCTCATTTAGGTCGGACTGCACTAGGAAGAGGAGAGCTAGGAGATTATCATTTAGAGGAAACGCTCTTCGATGATTATCAAGGCGTTCCTTGTTCCATGTTTCGAAGAAACGTGCGGCGTATGTGTCTCTCTCGGTTGCATCCTGTAGGCGCAAGAAGGTTTGATCTGCCTGCACAGCTTGCATGAAATCTGGATGGGCATCTTCCAGAGCTATCTCTGGTAAGAGATCCATCCATGAGTTTTTCACGCGCTGTAGCACGATCTCAAACTTAGCAATCCAAGTCACAAAGTCTTGGTTGCCCTTCCATGCCTTGAATAGGCCGAGGAAACGCCACAGGAAAACGTACTGTTCTCCTTTCACGAAAAATGGACGCATCTTCTTCTTGAAGTAATCTACTCCATCTGGGGCTGCAAGCCTTTCTCGGTTAAGTGATTCTTTTTGTACTGCGGCCAATCCGGAGAGCCTCGTCTTGAGAGACGGACCTCTTTTGGTGTCATCCAGCGTTGTTATGTCGCACCAGTCGTCAATCAACTGTTCATACTCAAACCACGAGGTGGTGCCATCATAGGCAGGCGCGATCTTGGGCGTTATGCCTAATGATGCAAGCATGCGGTCAGATGTTGCATATGACTGTGCGACATAAGTGGCTGGACCTTGGGAGGTCTCTTCGTTCTCATATCCCCCGGAGGATTGGGAACTGCCGTCGGCTTCGCTATGCGAGCTCGACATTGTGCTGCCTCTTATCCGCTTGGTCAAGCGTTCGGCGAGGCCGACCGCTGTAGCGGACTTTGTGAGGCGGGCGGCCCTTTCCGGGCTCCGCTACCAGAAAACTGTGCCGATACACCCACAAGGGATACTCCTTGTTAGGAGGTGTATGACCAGTTATTCCCTAAGGATCAAAGGGCAGCGCCCTGCACACGGACAGTAGTTGTTTTGTCTTGCTACGCAAGGAGAGCTTGTCTTGTCTCAATATGGTAAAACCACTGTGAGCCAATGGGCAGCGGAATGTATATGTATGAGCATGCAGCCATTGCTGTAGGTACCTGTTAGAGCTACCCCTTTAGAGGTTTATGGTTTCACCCCCCCCCCCTCCCCCCCCCCCCCCCTCCCCCACTCCCCCCTCCCCCCCCTCCCCCCCCCTCCTTTCCCTGTGCCCGTTTTCCTGGCACTTCGTATCAACAACTGTGTAAAGCTTGGGGTTTGACAGGCCGCCCCAGCATAAAAGAACATCGACTGCCCCCTCGCCCTGCCGCTACACAGCCGAGGCGGGCGGCGTAGCGTTAAAATTAGGATAGGGATATCCCATATAAATCCCCTTAGAATGAAGCCCAATAAGGTAGGGATATCCATAAAAATGCTTATACTTATGTGCTTTTTGGGTCCCTAAGTGCCGTCGTGTGAATACGAGCTGTGCGCACTGAGTGGCGATTGCATCTTCGAGATCTTCGAAACAGAAGCTCACCGCACACCCCAGAATCGGCCTCCAGAACGGCAGCTAATGCCTGGCAGGCAACTTGCGATTATGCAAATCTACCGGCTTGGTTTCGGACAGTGCGGAGACTGTATTTTCATCGGCTTGGGGCTAGCGGTACGCGCATAAACCAAGAACTTACAGCTGAGGGGCATGCAGCTACAAAGCCATATCACCACAAACCTGGCTCACGATCATTGCCCAGTCTTGCTGCCGAACCGTAAAGATATTTTGGATCAAAGGGCTGCAGAGGGAGGGAGACCTGCTACTGTAGGTCTCGAGACGATTTGGGGACGCAGTTTGCAGCAAGTCAACAAAAACTGCACGTGTGCTGCAACGAAGGCAAAGCAGGCCGGCAGGCCCTTAGCCGCTTAGCCGCCAAACATGAGCCAGCCGACAGTGCTTGGAAAGACGCCTACTTCACGAACGCAAGTCCGGCTCCCCTGTCCCCCTGTCCTGCAAGCAGCGGAGCACAGCGGGCGGATTGCTTGGCTCCGGCAGCAGGTCTGGTGGGGTGAAGAGGGAAACCTCGGGGCAGGATGCCACACCAGCCGTTAGACTTCGAAGATCTTCCAAGTGCGCCTCGCCTGCTTTACCCCCAAGGCTGCGCAGGCCTCGGCGGCCACGCCAACCCCACTCTGCAGGGCCCTCCGTGCTCGTGTCCCACCGGGCGCCTTCAGGAATTGGGCGAGACGTCCGAGGGCCACGGCATTGGCCTCTGCACTCTTCGACTGCCAAAAAGCATTGCATGCTTCAAGATCTGGCGAGGAACCTTCGGCAACACGTCGGGTCGCACCTAGCACCAAAACCAGCGAGCGAGAGGAACTAGAGAGCGACAGCGAGGCAATCAAGATGGCGAGAGGGAGCAGGAGTCGCAGACTGAGGCGTGCAGAGACGATTGCGATTCGTGCCGAAACCTGCAACCTTCCAATGAGGCTGTGGCAGAGATCACAAGAGCACAAAGCAGCCGTCCATCGCTCAGGTCTTGCACGCAAAGTTTCTCTGCGTCCAGGCCACCTACAAACCACAGCCAAATAGAATCTGCTCGAAAGCTCAACGTGTGAATAGTGCCCAGATGTGCCCAGCCTAGAGGCAGCAGGCCGCGAACTTGCCGTGCGTGTGCGGGTGGCAAGGGCACCTCAGCCGTGCCACGCACTCGGCTTTGTGTGGAGCTCTGCAAAGGTCCGGGGCATGCAGGGACCGGGACCCCGCCTTGAGCCTTGCATCGATGACGGAGCAAAGCCACCGGAGCACCGGCCTGGCCGACAGCCACAGCGCGACAGCTGCTCAGCGCGCTGCTCCACAGCGGCGCTCTTCGCTGCTTCGCTGCCTCCAGGGGTCTTCCGCTCGCGAGGTCCGTCGGAGGCCTCGCACCCCCAAGGCGGTAAAGCGGCCACCACCCCTCGCTTCTCTGCGCCTAGCTCTGGAGAGGCATGGGCATCGATGTCGTCCTCAGTCTCCTCCTCACCGATATGGGCCTATGACCTATGGTGCTTCGTCGGATTCTACTGTCAACATCTGTAAACCTGCCTTTCCTCGGACTCTTCGGACTCTTCCGGGGAGCTTGGTGGTAGCCGACTAGGCTGCGCCGCCGCCACCACCGAAACTTCTGTGCTGGAGTTTGGCGCGAAATCTTGGTGCAGCCGCTGCCAAGCAGGCGCCGACAAACTGCGGAAGTCGCAAGCGGCGAAGTCTGGGGCACACCCCACAGCACTTTTTGCTACGGGGAGCTTGGTTGGAGCAAGGGTGATTGGCGCAAAATCTTGGTACAGCCGCTGCCAAGCAGGAGCCGACAAACTGCGGAAGTCGCAGGCGGCGAAGTCTGGGGCAGACCCCACAACACTTTTTGCTACGGGGAGCTTGGTTGGAGCAAGGGTGATTGGCGCAAAATCTTGGTACAGCCGCTGCCAAGCAGGCGCCGACAAACTGCGGAAGTCGCAGGCGGCGAAGTCCGGGGCAGACCCCACAGCACTTTTTGCTACGGGGAGCTTGGTTGGCGCAAGGGTGATTGGCGCGAAATCTTGGTACAGCCGCTGCCAAGCAGGTGCCGACAAACTGCGGAAGTCGCAAGCGGCGAAGTCTGGGGCAGACCCCACAGCACTTTTTGCTACGGGGTGCTTGGTCGGCGCAAGGGTGATTGGCGCGAAATCTTGGTACAACCGCTGCCACGCATGAGCAGGCAAAATTCGGAAGTCGACACTGCTGCCCGAATGTGTGCCCGGCGCCGAGCTTGTCGCGGCTGGTGCTGCGTTGGGAGTTTGGCCTGCCGAAACTGATGTTGCCACGGCTCCCGCCGCCGCCGCCGCAACCAGTTTCTCTAGCCCTGACAAATGTTCAAGCACTGCCAGCACATCCGGCACACCATTTCAAGGGTTTGCTCTGACTCTAATGCCTCTGAGCGCCGATTCTCGCCCGCGTTCGCGAGCGAGCTCCAAAGCCGACTGGCCGGACCTCGGCCCAAAACTACAAAGGCAAGCGAGTCTGTGAGTCTGTGTGTGCATTTTTCAGTTTCGGCAAGGGGCTTGTTCTTTGCTGCCAAGACGTCAATGCCCGCTGCGGCCAAGGCATGTATCTGCAACGTTGCATGCTGCCAGCGTACATCCCCAAACAATCATACGGCACAACGATGGCCAACCACCGCGACCCAAACAACCACAACCACCAGGACACTACCAGGACCACCGCGATGACCACTACACCAGAGGCCGCGAGGAGACCACCACGACCGCCGGGCGGCCACGAGGAGATCCACAGCACGTGACATGTGTGTTTTCGGATCTGAGAAAATCCGCACGTGTTGTAGCTGTTTCGTTCGTAACGCAGGTATGGGTGTTCGTTTGTGTGTGTGTGTGTGTGTGCAACTCCTGTATCCAAGGATTTTGAGTCTCTAGAGTATCTGCACTGCTGATTTGCATTGGAAGAAAAGCAAGAGTTGCAGACTTTGCATCATTGCTTCGTATATGCAGAGAAGCAGGGGGCTGGCAGCCTATTCCGTGATGCCAGCCAACGAAGCTAGCGGAATGGGTGGCGGGAGCTATGGACGCATAGCTCTGTACCTGCAGTCTCACTCGCTGATCGATTTGCATCTTTAGTCTTATGAGCCTTGAGTCCAAAACATTCAATTGTATCGCTCATCTAATGTATGCATGTCCTTGAGATGAATCTGGAACCCAAGAAGATTTCTGAGGCTTTGGTATTCGAACTTAAGATGATCTAGATGTAAAGAATTTTTGGAGATGGAGACAAGAGATATCCACAAGAAGAAAAGAGCGGCACCTCAAAGCATACCCAGGACATCCGAATTATACCCAAATGAAGTGATTCAAATCTGGTTTGCAGCCAGACTACTTGGCAAAGACCCAATGCTCTTTAAAGGCTAACGCAATCCCAGGCATACCCCCACCCAAGCATCTCTGATATGTCTGTTCGCAGGTGTATCAGACTATTGTGTCATAGCATACCCAAGAAGTCCCAGGTATACCCAAGGTCATTCATTGCGAATGATCACCCCAAGCAGATCCATCGTCTTGACAGTCTTCTGCTAAGCAGTCCCAAAGCTGATCCAACGCTATATGCGATCCGAAGCATACCCAAGCTGATGATGACATCCGAATTATACCCAAGCTGAAGATGATGATTCGTCCGTTCGCCACCCAACAAGCACCCAGCGTACGTTGGCCTTCTTAGGGTGTACGTTTGTAGACAAATAGAAGTCATATTAGTAGTTCTAATTTTCATCATCATCTGAATCTTCTTAGATATCGTGGTTAGATTTCGATCGCCACCCAAAGCTGATCCAGCATTCGTGCGTCTTCTCGTCTCGTTTCATCTTATACTCGTTTCAACAGAGCAACGCACACTTTTCAAAGCACACTTGAGCCTACGGTCACGCAAGTCGTCACTAGTCTTGGAAAACAGTAAAAGTAAAAGGGGTTTCTGCAAAGTTTGTTACCCCCCTTGGAACTCACACGATCCTCTCGAGTGGGTTCCACTGCAAACGGCGCTTCTATGAGCTATTAGCTCATCTCTCCAGAGAGAACTGAAGTTCACCGAAGCAAAACTAAAGAGTACTCTGTACACACCACAGCTTCACACTACTGATGTCGGGCCTCTTCTTGCGGAGGAAAGGAGCTTTTGTTCTCGTTCCCGATCATCACATACAGAGTAAAACAATGACGTATGTGAGCTTTGGCATCTTGGGGCCCTTTCTTGTTCTAGTCTAGAGCTCACATCTTTACCAAAAAGCGTGGTGACCAAAACGGCTCTTTACAGACACTTGACTGCTGCTAGAGAAAACAGGCTTACGTCAACAAAGCAACCTCAGCACTTACAGGCCAAGAAGGTAAAAGGAAAACTTCACGCTCAAACTTCTCAGGTGTCACGCTCACGGCTTAAACTGCTTGCAAGCTTTGAGCTGCTTGTTCACTGCAACTCGGCGGTCGATCGTCGTGACATTGGATGGAAGGTGGCTCATCCAACGCACTACGTTTCCACACGTAGCCTTATGATAGCTCTTGCCGCGCTTCGGCTCGCCGATGATGTAGACCTTGTCCACACCAGGATCAGCACGAGGATCATGAGGAACGTCCTGCGCCTCATTCTCGACTTCGTTGTGCTCCTCCTGGTCCTCGCCGTCGTAGTAGTAGCTCTGGGTGTA